AAAGATACAAAGAAAAATCACCCATAACATTAACTTCTTTGTACATTTCTTTCTAGTCTTTATTCTATATATGTGATCAAAATTGTAGTCATGCTGGAAATAGTTTTTTATATGTATTATGATCTTTGACAAGGTAATTTATAATGACTGTATAATATTTCACTATATAGAATTTGCTTAATGAATCACCCAATATGGCAAATTAAGATGGTTTCTAATTACTCAAGACTATGAACAACACTGCAATGAAATGGTTATACGGTTTTAACTCTCCATCCACACTCCTCTGGTCACCAAGAATTCACAGAGCAGGGCCAACAGGATTAAGCAGACTCTTCAATCTGCAGAATAAACAAGCCTGGAGGATATCTTTTTCATATCTTTCTTCTGTCTTCTCTTTGATGCTAATTAGAGTAAATCTTTTGAGGTAGGAAGTGGGGAAAAAGTAAAATATGAACTTCAGCCTGGGGAGCGATAGGAAGTCTAGGTTAAATCATTTATGAAGATGGATACTCAGTTCCTGCTCAGAAATCTCCTATAAAGGGGGCTTTAATTCGTTCCAAGTTACATCCTACAATGACATTCTATTAACATTGGTGCTATGCAAAAACTGAGCAAATAACTGTAGGTAGGTAGGAAGGAAGAAAAGAAAGGAGGAAAGAAGGAAGGAGTTAACCATATCTAGGCAGGAAGAGTCTACAACAATATTTATCAGCAACCCCAATAGCACCCATGGCCACTAATGAAACTGAGCAGAAGACCATCCATTCACTCCATTTATTGTAAGAGGAAAAACCAACCAGAGCAACTTAAAATACCCTAACAGACTTGTAGATTAGGCTACTGACCTTATCTTGAATAAAAAGCCAGAAGTTTGCCTATAGATGCAGGGGCATCCAACCTGTGGCCCATGGGTGGCTGTGAATATGGCCCAATGCAAAATTATAAATTTACTTAAATCATTATGAGATATTTTTGTGATTACATGTCATAATGTATTTAATGTGTGGACCAAGGCAACATTTTTTCCAATGTGGCCCAGAGATGCCAAAAGGCTGGACACACCTGCATGCAGTCAAGAGGAAGGAGCCCAAAGTCGTTAGGCCCGGGATCGAATAGGACTCACACTTACTAGGGTTTGAGAGGTGGTGCTTCTTGAGAGGTACCAAGTAGAATATGGAAAGATCACACCACAGGGGTTCCTTCTGCATGAGACTGCCCAAGGATGCTCATGTGTGCCTACCTAGCAATCCATTTCTGCTTACTACGCAGGTCCTGGAAAAAACCTCCCATAGGTAACTCAGATTCCCCACCCCACTCCCTTTTATATACATTGTCCACAGAGGTCAAGTCAAAGAACTAGAGTAGATAAAACATCTTGTTGAGTGGGCTTTTCTTCTTTCATCCCCCCAGTTTTTCTTTTCTTTTATAGTGAAATGGCAGCTTCCCATTGTCAAGAAACATGTTCAATATTTATTCAGCATCTCTGTGCATCAGACATAGTGACAGAAATGTACAGTAGAATCTGTATCTATACATCTAAACACGTATGTGTACTCCACATATGAGCACTTCAGATTTAATGAAGAAGAAAGAGCTTAGGGCGATCCCTGCACCATCAAAGGAGGTATGTACATGGTAGGAAGTTAGGAGCACCAGGGAAGAACTTCAAGGAAAAAAAAATGACGCCTGAGTTGAGTCCTTAAGTTCCTTATTAAGCCTACTTCAGAGATGCTCTAAGGATAAATTTGGGAGGAAGTTTTCTACCAGGCAAAAAAGTGGTGTTAGTATTGTACTACTTAATTTTGAAATAATCATTATGACAATTATCACAAAGTAACAGATTAAGTAATTTTCCCAAGTGCACATAACATGCCCAGGGAAGATCTAGATCTGGAATTCAGATCTCCCTAACATCCAACACCTTGCTGTACTTAATGCGTGGGAAACCTGAGTGCATTATTAAGAGAATGCAAGTGTGCACATACACACACACACACAAGTCTTACTCTCTACTCTGCCTAACAGTGGCCTCAGACATCTAGTTTTGGGGTGGGAAGGTAATCGGGAGGGGGCATACAGATATAAAGTCCTGTTTGGCTCTTATAAACAGCTCTTCCCTGACAGCCACTCAAAATGATGCTTTTCTTTCCATCCTGAAAAAAAAAGTCAGAATCTGCTGACTGATGAGTTACAGATCTCTTGAAGAGAAGGATCCTCACAATCACACACCCCTTTGCATCCTGGCAAGACTGCTCCTAATTTCTCTCCTACTTTGGGATCCTGATAGAGACTGTGTTACTTCCTGACAGCCTCCTGTTTTCTCCTGTGGAGAAAGCTCCTCCCAGTTTCTATTTTCTGGCCTTTATGTAAAAGTCTGTGTAGCAAAGGAGAAAAAGCATGGGCCTTGGAATCAGAAAGATTTAGGGTCAATTCCTACATTTACCACATCCTAGCTACAAGACCCCAGGCAGATTATTAATTTCTCTGATCTGTAAAATTGGAATAAAATGATAATTCTTATGGCTATTGATTAGATAGATAATAACACAGGTGTTAAATATACTTTAGTTCCTGTTCTCTTTCTTCACCTTCCCTAGTATTATGCTGCTCCCTTTAGTACTATTTCATATGAAATGTGATTTTATGAGCTGAGCCTCAGTGTGAAAACAAGTCACAGGTTCAAAGAGGACCAACCTTAACAAGGTTTGAGAGATACATTAGAAACAATGGTCAATGACTATTCCTAGCTCCCACACCACAACCCCGGCAACACTTTACATTTCTCAGCTACGGTCTACCCTCCCCATCAAGCCCCTGCTTTGGGGTTTGAAAATGTAAGGAGCAAAAAGAAAAGTAAGACAAAGGAATGAGAGCAGAAAGGAGATACAAAAGGAAAAAAGAGGACTGTAGGGTGTGGGGTAGCAGTTCAGAACAAGGGCACAGTATTTAGAAAGACAGGTAAAATCTCTGTACTACTGAGAAGCTCTGTAACCTTACACAAGTTCTTTTCTGAGCCTTAGTTCCCCTACTTGAAAATGTGTTTAATAAACTCTATCATAAGATTGCCACGAGGATTGCATGTAATAATATGTATCTGGCAAGCATGAGGTACTCAATTAAAAAAATACTAATATACACTGAGTACTTACAATGCACCAAATCTTAGGCTAGGTAGATCACCCACAATATTTCAGGCTTAATTACTACTATTATTAATTACTGTAATTGTAAATATCAAATAAAGAAAAAAAGAAAAAAGTCTTTAAAAAATTTTTACTGTTTATGCTGTACAGTCATTCCTGCTTTTTCTTCCTTTCTCCACCTTCACCCAGCCCCACCCAAGAAATAAATTTTGAATTCACATTAGAACCACAAGAGTTTTAGGGCCACTAAGTCCAATTGCATGATTTTATGGATGTGGCTACCCAGGGCCAGAGGCACCGTGATCTGCACAAGATCACAGAGCTCCAGAGCAGCAGAATCTGAACTAGAGGCTGAGCCTCCTAGATCCATGTGCAGAAGGTGGGACATGTAGCTAGAAAGGGCTATTGGAAGCCATGGTCACCCTTTCAGCAGTGGCACTTCCATGGAGACTGACCTAGTCCACCCCCTCCCTGGACAGCCAGTCCTCCGGCAGCCCAAGGAATATGACTGCTGTTCATTCATGCTCCATTCTACCATCAGCAGGCTCATAATTAAAGGAGAATACACATGCCTTTGGTTGCTGAGACCATTATTAAGAACAGGGTGAGCCACAAGCAAGCAGACAACCAGTCAGGAAAACCTGGATTAAAACTAATCCCCTTGCTTCATAGACACTCATCAGAGAGTGGCTGTGGGTCATAGGGAGAGGAAGCACAGCCAGCTTCGGGGAGCTTGCCAGCCCTTCATCTGCCTGGGGAATCTCAGTTTAGAAAACATTATCTTTTCATGTTTTTTTTTTTCTGATAGGCAGTGCAATGATTTGCATTCATTCCCACAAAGTGTCAGAAATCCTGTGAAGTAGTAATATCCAGACTTCTTAATGCATTTCCAATTTCAAAACTCAACTTAATTAAGTAGGGTTAATTTTTTTCCTACACAGCAATCAAACTTTAATTAATACTCCATTAAAATGAATTCCTGCAGGAACACAAGCATGCATGTATCTAATGAGTTTATCTGCCAAGGGTGTTGTTAGAGAAGATGCTAAATGTGCCTCCTCACTGACTACTTATTCAATTTCAGAATGCCCATGTGAATGAAAAATGAAAAGCAATAGCAGGTTTGCAACCTTCCTCTCTGTGGGCACCCCTGCCCTGCCAGCAACATAACAATCCATCCTCTCCTCTCTTGTCTCCACTTCTTGACTAACTCGGTCAGATTTAAGCCCAGCTCACTTCCTCCTCTCTGGAGGGCAACTCAGTGCCCACACCCCTTCCTTCACAGGCTGTCACTCCACAATAAGGCAAGGTGAGGACAAACTCACTTTAATATCACTCTGTAGCAGAGCTCATGATGAAGATTTAATCTTGTCTTCTTTTTACAATACAATAACATACTTGCAAACTCTGTATGTTTCTTGTTGGCAACAAAGAAGATCCAAGTTGTGCAGGACCCAGATCTCCCACAGGAAACAGCAACCAAGAGCAATAGGGTATGTGGTGGAATGGGAGTCTCTGATCCTCATTTCCTCTTCTAGTGACTATTTCTACACCAGGGATTCCTAAATTTCTCCAGCTGAGGACTGAATGCTCTTGGACACTCCAGAAACCACCTGCCTCTGTGGTGCCCTCCTCACCAGAGATGAGGAGGAAATTTTGCCCCAAATTGTTTGAGACTTAAATATAGGCTATCAGGAGCAAATTGTTAATATCATCACACTTAAGTGGCTAGTAACCCTTAGACCATCCAGGACCCTGGGCATACCTTGAGGGTCATTACACTAGGAAACCAACCTAACCCTTGCCAGAACAACTCGACCCAACCAATGCCCCTTCTCCACTAGCTGCTCTTACCTCTTTGGTGTGTGTGTGGAAGGAAACAGACATGTCCAGGAGAAGCTTCCGCTGCTCCACCCTGCGCACGAAGTCTTGGATGCGCACCTCCAGGTGTCGAGCTGCCTTGTAGATCTCCTCTGGGTCACATTCCCCAGTCTGCGCCAGCTGTTCCGCTGCTTCTAGGAGCTTGTCAGCATTGGTGTACGTATTCTGCCGGCAACAACAGTGAAAGAAAGTCAACTTGCAGTCACGAACCAAGCTTGTCGCCTTTCCCCAGCCCACCAGGGGCTGCCCAGAGCTGGAGCGCAAGGCGTGGGTGCTGAGCCGACAGCTCCCTGATCTGGCACAGAGGAGCTCAGTGCTGAGCTGCCTGCTGCCTCCCAGCAAGCTAGCAGCCTGCCTGGCAGCTTGGCACATAGAGGACACTAGCTGAGCGCCTCCTCAGTCCCTGGGATTTCTCAGAGGTGGGGTGCCCTGGAAAGAAGGGAGGAGACATGTGACAGTCCTCAATCCTCATCAGCTCCTTGACCCACCCCGACCCTTATGAAGATCCATCATTGCCCTCACATCTCAGGCTGTAACTGCCAGGGTTGGAAATGCCTCATCCACAAAGATCGTCTGGGAGACAATAACTGGGAGGCTTGCTTGACTTTTTTGCTGGAGTTCCTTGTAACTACTAGTGTTTATCTTTTGAAACAGAGCTGTCTCTTAGGAGGGGAAGGGGTCAGCAACTCAGGGAGCTGAAAGGAGGTAGCCACAGCCAGAGTGAGGATATGCAGGCTATTCCCTGCGTGCCCAAGGGAAGGCTTAATCCCTGCAGCAAGGCTGGGGAGGAGTCTGGTGATTTTTGTTTATTATAAGCTACTGCATGCACATGTACATTCACACACACACTCCTCCAACCCCTGTCTGTACTGCCCGTGGTATTCTCCAGAGCATTTTAAAAGTCAACCAACTTATAGTTCTTTTTCATCAGGATGTAATAGTTATTACATGTAAGCCATGGATACAACTTTTTCTTAGCAGGCTTCACTTTTAAAAAAGATCTAATATTCACCAATTTAGAGTTAATGAATCAGTTGCACATATTTCTTAATCATTCCTACAGTCACAAAATGCCCTAGAGAGTGGTGAACAAGTGGTTACTGGTGACAATGTGAATCTGGCAGCAGAAACAGTCAGTATCAAGCATGAAGTGAATGAAGGACTGAAATGGATTTATGAGCAATGACTGACTGTGTGGTGCTTTACTTTGCTCATGGAAAAGAGGCCTCCAGATTCTACGGAGTTTTTTGGTCTCACCCAAAGACTCCTGGGTGTTGAGGGTTGAACTGCGTGTCCTCCAAACTCACATGTTAAAGCTCTAACCCTCAGTACCTCAGAATGTGACCTTGTTTGGAAACAGGATCATTGCAGATGTAATTAGTTAAGATCAATTTGCAGGATGGGCCTCTAATTCAGTACAACTGGTGTCCTTACAAAAAGAACACCATGTGAAGAGTCAGGACATACCCGAGGAGGCAGAATGCCAAGTGGAGCTGAAAGCAGAGATCTGGGGATGCGTCTACAAGGAGGAATGGCAAAGACTGCCAAAAAACTACCACAAGTGAAGCCAGAGACATGGAACAGATTCTCCCTCATATCCCTCAGAAAGAACCAACCTTCCTGACACCTTAATCTTGGACTTCCAGCTTCCAGAACTGCAAGACAATAAACTTTGGTTGTGTAAGCTACCCAGTTTGTGGGACTTTGTTAATGCAGCCCTAGCAAACTAATATACTGGGGTGGAAACTTTCAGAGGCTGCTGAAACACTTGTCATGGCTCTAAGGAATACCAAGAGTGGCTTCAGGGGATCCTTAAGACATGCTGTCTGAAAAGCTACTGCCCAAAGCAAGCACTGTCCCAAGGCAGGTGAGATGGGAGTAGGGCCAGGACTAAAAAGGAAGAAAAAAAACCCCTTTGGATCATGGGAAAACAGGCAATCCCTGTGTGAAGAAAGAGGCTTTGTCAGTGAGTTAAATAAGGGTAAGTGGATCCTGAAAGCAAATGAAGGCTATACTCAGAGTTACGAGGATTCCTGGAGAGACAGGAAATGACAAGCCACAGAAGACCTCCGGGGCTGTGGGCCACATTAAGGAAGGCTGCCACAATTTCTAGGAAATATGCCCAGAGCTGATGGAAGAGTTGTTCCCCACCCCAGGAATTCCTCAGATCTTCCACTTTAAACTTAAGGGAATCTCAGGAAACCCCCCAAAAAGACAGAGGTTGTAATTTTGTATTTTCTGGCCAACAAATAAAAATTTGTAGCAAAGCCAAAGGAAGCTTGCTTTTAAGTTGAGTTTGGGATCAAAAGATAAATAAAAAGCAAAACTGAAGCGCCCACTGTTTATAAAGTGGTCAACTTTGTCCCAGTTTGCCCAGGACTTTTCTGGTTTTAGCATCCTAGAAAGCCTGTTGGTCCTGGGCAAATGGGATGGCTGGTCACCCTAGCACACACCCAACACTGTACATATCTCAGGAGTACAGATTATATTTACACACACACACACACACACACAGTGTATGGTGCCTCAGGGGCAATAAAATCACTGTTGAGAGAAATAATATGAAAACGCATCAACAGGGCATGCAACACAATAATAGATAATTAGGGATTTAAGTTTCTCAGCACAAATGGGCGCTAAGAAGAAAATGACTAAAAATTGAGAATAATAATAGCTAATAACTATTAAACATTTTTTAAATTCCAAGGACCATTCTAAAGATTTATATGCATATTAACTGATTTAATCTTTGCAATAACACTATGAAGTTGATAAAGACACCAGCCCAATTTTACAGACGAAGAAACTAAGGCACCAAGAATTTCTGACCAAGGTCACACATCTTGTAAGTGGCAGAACAAAGATTAAATCTTGTTGTCTAGCTTCAGGGCCCAAGCTCCAAACCATTACACTATTGTGTCAGATGAAGAAGGGCCTTGAATGCCATGCTCAGGTGTTTTACTCCAAAGTTATGGGAAGCCACTAAACGGTTTTGAGTAGAATAGGGATATAGTATACAGAGACACTACCCTGCCTATATACAGAGTGAAGGCAGAAGCCTAAGTATGGGCAGGATTTAGCAGAGGAGGAGGGCTTCTCATAAACAGAACTCTCTCTCTTCTTGCCCACAGGACTTAGTTTATCCCATACCATAGCCACTTTCATGCTCACAGTAACAATGTGCTTCCAGGGGCATCTCCCTACTGACTTGTCTGCTCTTGAAAGAGAGGTTCCATGTTTCATTCATCTGTGGTTCTCCAAGCCAGGCACTGTACACAATAGGCACTTTCTAAATGCTGAACAAACAAGACTCAGAGATAGGAATGCGCATGGCATGTTTGAATAAGTTGAATCAATATGACTAAAACTGGAGAGTGGCAATATGTCACATTATATAAGAAGAGAAAAGCTAGATAATGGCTTTTATAGAAAGAAAGGCACAAGAAAGACAGGTGGGAGGGCAATGGGGTCTGCACTAAAACCCGGGCTCCCTGCTCTAATCACTGCCCAGTCCTCTTTCCCACCACAACCAGAAAAAGATTCTAAAATTCAGATCCAGTCATACCTCTATTCCCTTTAAAACTGTCCAGTAGCTTCTCATTGCCTTTGGGGTAAAATTTCATGCAAGGCCCTTCTTCATCTGATATCTGTTTTCTCCCTTCATCTTCAACTAACATCGCTCCCCTACAAATAGCCTGTGCAAGAAATTGCTTACACTCTCAGAAACTCATTGCACTGAATCTTGCCTCTGTGCTTCTGTTTGGGATGTCCTTCCCCTACTTCTCTACTTGACCAATGCTTACTAACCTTTTCAGAGTGAACACAGGCATCATGCCCTCAGGAAGTCCACCCTCATATATACTTTCCTCCCAAGGCTGGCTTAGGTGTGCTTCTCTGGGCTCCCAGAGTGAGCTGTTTTGACCTTTCCCATGCTACCTGTCATATTCTAAAGCAAAAGTTTGCCCGTCTTACATGCTTTGGGGCAGACAATGTCCTTTACCTCTTTCCTTTAGTGCCTAGCATCAAGTAAGTGCTCTGTGAATATTATAGACTACATCAATCCCAAACAATCCCAGTATTCAGTCGCTGACCTTCACCAAATATCTGGCACGAAGCCTTCCACACTGGAAATCATGTTCAGTGTTCAATCCCATCTGGTTCCTCCCCCTTCCTGGCCCAGTCCTGAAATGAACAGGCTTAGGGAATACCAACCAGAGTAGCATCCGAGCACTACACTGATGCCTGTCATCGCCCAAAACTGGAGCAAAGACCACAACACGCTTCAGTTCACCTTCTGACCATATTAACAACAGTTTCTGCTCCAGGGCCAGAGTCTACCTCAATTATGAATGTAGTACCTAGGCATTCTTTGGTTTCCCAGCTTCTTAGCCTCTGCCTTGGATTCAATCCCTTATTAATATTTCCCAACTGATGTGGCAAAAATGGATTATGAGTGCTGGGATATCAATCCCTCTGCCCTTGAGACTTTCAAGCAGGGCCTGCAGGAGCCAGAGCCCTGAGCCAGAGATTTGGGCTGCAGCTCCTGGTCCTCACTCCCCAACCTCCTTCCCTGTGTCGACGAGGCAAATGCCGTGGACTCTATCTTTCATTCCCTGTGGTGCAGCCTTGGCCCATCAGTGTTTTGCTTTTTCTTCATGAAAGGAACAGCATATACTAGAATAACTTGTCTCTAAAAATGCAGGCATCCCAACAACACAGGTATGCTTGTAGATTCCCTGTGCTGAAGCAGAGGGGCAGGGAGTTTTAAAGGCAAGGGGTGGAAGAGTCAGTGAATGAAAACAAGTCTAGAGTCAAGACCTGACTTCCCTGATAATACAGAGTTAGCACTCTTGGCTCTATGCTCTGGGGATGAAGAAGGAGGAGGCTGAGCAGTCCCCCTGATTATTTCAAAGAGGCAGTGTGGACTGGAGAATGGACTACCAGAGGACCAGGAAGGAACTCCCTTCCTAATGACCATTTTTCCAGGCTGGCATGGCCAGAACCAATGGGCAGTGAGAGGAAAGGAGCAAAAGTACACAAGCATTCATTAAAAAGTACATGGAAGCACAGGTATTGGGGAGGGTACAGACTTGTCTCTGGATTTGGACATTAGTGAATAGTAGGCAAATCAAGGTAACGCCTCACACCTTACATTTGAATAGTAC